TAGAAAGGGAAGAGAAATGCAACCATAGAACATATACAGTCTTGAGGACAGTACAGAACAATGTGCTAAGGTCGGTCTCCTCATTCTAAGAAATGCACCATGACTACATACATACACAGGAAACAGAACAAGGGGCATATGGAAACTGTACTCTTTACAATAATTCTGTATGTATATAAATTGTGTCAAAGTAATTTTTAAAAGGCTTATATTTGAGATCATTATCTCAATAGAAAAGAAATTACCTCACTCTGACACTATCCTGGCATTTTATTCTAAATAAAGGAGGGTAGCAGCAGCTACTTTACTGTCTTGAAACCACACAGTGTCACTTAATTGTGAACACATATTCAAAACTACTTAAATATGAAAGCATATTACTAATGGCTGCAAGCAAGAGATGAATGTTACAACAACTAGACAAATGTATGCATCTCCCTTTACATCACAATTACTCCACATATGAGACCAAAGGGAAGGTGCTAGCTTTCCCATGTTCAGCTGTAGAGCGATACTCTGTGCACTTAGAACTTACATTTGCCTTAGGGTTAGGATACTCTTCTAAATACCATCAACCAAAACCTGCCAAAGCTTTCTAGAAGGGAGAGAAACTAAAGATCCTAAGAGCCAGCCCTCATCAGGGAACAGCAACTTGCCAGTCATTAAAATGAGGGAGTACCATGGAAATGTCACTCTAGCTTTCCATTAGCTGTTTCTACAGTTACTCTCTTTCTCACTTTCTTGACAAATAGCTCCATCATGCAGCAGTATGAATCATACTGAACTTGGGTAACAAATTGGATTGTAATTTAAAAACAAGACAGTAAATTCTGTGGTAATGTTCCTGCACCCCAGAGACCATCATTTAAAACACACCCAAAACCAAAGCACTTAGTGCAGCAATCTAGCCCATCACTTCACAATAAAATGCAAAAATGCCACTCAAAAAGTATCTGAAAAATTAGCACTTACTTATCTTATTTATAATGTTATTCTAGTTTAATGCACAGGTGCAGTATTTCACGGGATGAATACACACACAAACACACACACACACACACACACACACACACACACACACACCCCACAAGGAAATAGAAGATAAAATGGCCACAATAAGATAAAAAAAATGAAATTACTCAATAAGGCAGAATAAAAGAAAAAGGGAGAAGACATAGAGTTAGATGATTTATAGGAAAATATAACCAGAAGAGGGATGCTTGTAAGCTGCCTAGCATGTTCTGTGTCTTTGTATTTATCCTATCCTAGGCTACTCACTAAAATATTCTCAACCTTATGTAATTTATCTGTAACATTAAGATAGTAATTCCAGTCTATTGACTGAATATAAGGTTTATTAAGATCTTATAAATAAAATTTACCTTTTTTTATGAAAAAAAAAAACAGCAGCCTACAGAATGGAAAAATATCTTCAGCAGTCCCACATCTGACAGAGGGCCAATATCCAAAAAATATAAAGAACTTGAGAAACTAGATGCCAAATAATCCAATTAAAAAATGGGATACAGATGTAAAGAGAGAATTCTCAACAGAAGAATCACAAATGGCTGATATCACAAACTTAAAGAAATGATCAATATCCTTAGCCTTCAGGGAAATGCAAAACAAATGACACTGAGAGTTCATCTTACACCTGTCAGAATGGCTAAGATCAAAAACACAAGTGACAGTTCATGCTGTTGAGAATGTGGAGCAAGGGGAACACTCCTCTGCTGTGGAATAATCTTTTTTGTATAATGGGAAGATGTCTCTCTGCCAAGGCACCATCTGATTGGTTTAATAAAGAGCTGAATGGCCAATAGCTAGGCAGGAGAAGATAGGCAGGACTTCCAGGCAGAAATAGGAACTCAGAGAAGGAATCAGAAAGACAGGGATCACCAGCAAGACACGGAGGAAGTGGGAAATATGGTACTGCACGGAGGTAAAGAGCCATGTGGCAAAACACAGATTGATATAAACTGGTTAATTTAAGTTTCAAGAGCTAGTTGGGAACAAGCTAAGCTAAGGCCAAGCTTTCATAATTAGTAAGAAGACTACATGTCATTATTTAGTAGCTGGCAATCTAAAGAAAGTTGGCTACACTGTTCCATTGCTGGTGGTGTACAGACACTTTGGAAATCAGTATGGCAGTTTCTCAGAAAATTGGGTATCAATCAACCTCAAGACCCAGCTATACCACTCTGGGGCATATATCCCAAGGATGCTCAATCATACTATTAAGATACTTCCTCAACTATGTTCACAGCCCTTTTATTCATAATAGCAAGAACCTGGAAATAACCTAAATATCCCTGAACCAAAGAATTGATAAAGAAAATGTGATACATTTACACAATGGAGTATTACTCAGTTGTTAAAAACAATGGCATCATGAAATTTTCTGGCAAATGGATGGAACTAGAAAAGATCATCCTGCGTAAGGTAACTCAGTTCCAGAAAGACAAACATGGTATGTGCTTACTTTTAAGTGGATATTATCCATAACCATCTTACAATCCACAGACCCAGAGAAGCTAAGTAACAAGGTGGACTCAAGGGGGAACACATGAATCTCATTGTGAAAGGAAAATAGAGTAGATATCACCATTGGATGGGGTGGGGAGGGCAGGTCCTGGATGGGAGTAGGGATAGGAACAGGATGGGGGAGGATGGAAGGAGAGAGTACTGGAAAGACAACTGGAATCTGGGGGCATCTCTGGGATGAGCTAGAAACCTAGTGCAATGGAAACTCCGAGATACCTATGGCAGTGACCCTAGCTAAGACTGCTAGCAATGAGGGGGTACAGAGCCTGTAACCAGCCATTTCCTGTAATCAGGCAAGAATTCCAGTGGAAGGATTGGGACAGCAACCCAGGCACAAAACCTTTGACCTACTATTTGTCCTGCCTACAAGATGAGCTGGGGTAAAGGTGGCATAGAAATCATGGGAGTGACCAGCCAGTGACTGGCCCAGCTTGAGAGGCCTGTGCCAAGAGAGGGAGCTCACCCTGAGGGCCAGGACCCAGAGGCAGGATAGCCCAGAGACCTAGGATAGAACCAAACACAACTGACAAGGAAAAAAAAGGTCAACAAAATGATTCCTAATGATACTCTGTTATACTCATATATTGGTGCCAAGCTCAACTGTCATCAGAGAGTCTTCACCAAGAAACTGATGGAAACAGATATGGAGAGACCCATACCCAAACATAAGCAGAGCTCAAGGTATCCTGCAAAAGAGGGAGAAGGAGGATTATAGGAGTCCAAGGCGGTTAAGAACACCACAAGAAAACCCACAGAATCAACTAACCTGGACTCACAGGAGCTCACAGAGACTGAACCAACAACCTGGGAGCCTGCATGGGACTGATCTAGGCCCTCTGTATATATGTGGCAGTTGTGTAACTTGGTCTTCTTGTGGGACTCCTAACAGTGGGAGCAGGGGCTGTCTCTGACTCTGTTACCTGTTTGGGGGACCCTTTCCTCCTACTGGGTTGCCTTGTCCAGCCTATAGAAGAGGATGTTCCCAGTCTCACTGCAACTTGAGCTACTATGACTGGCTGATATCCACAGGAGGCCCACCTTTTTCTGAAGAGAAACAGTAGAAGAGGAGTGGGCATGGGGGCAGGAGGAGCCAAGGGAGGGGAAACTTTGGTCAGGCTGTCAAAACAAAAAATAAAATAAACTTATTTTTTAAAAAATGGCTGTGGTTGTTTTGCCTGCATGCATGTCTATGCACCTCAAGCATGCAGGCATTGCCCTCAGAGGCCAGAAGAGGGTGGAAGATCTAGAATAGTTACAGTGATTGTTATCTGTCAGGTCAGGGATGAGAACTGAGCCCAGGTCTTATGGAAGACCAGCAAGTCCTCTTAACCAACCACTGAGCCATCTCTCCAGGCCCATACAAAAATCATAAATGTTCATTTTCATTATGCAGGTTTTATTTAAGCAACCATAGTTTTGAGATTTTATGGGTGCAGTTTCTGTGTTATATGTAGAAGATACTATCTCACAGAAGAAGTCCTGGTCCTCTGGCTCTTAAAATCACTCTGCCTGCATTTCAGCAATTTTCTCAGAGCCTTAGGTGTAGGAGTTGCACCATAGATGCATTAATTTGGTCTGCGCATCCCACAGTCACTTAGTCTCTGTATTGTGACCAGCTATAGAGCCCTGTAACAACCTCCATTTACTGCAAAAAGCAATTTACTTGATGAGGGGTGAAAGGAACACTTATCTGTGAGTACAAGGGCAAGTATTTAAAATACAGTTACAAATTATTATTTTATGAAAATGGCAGCAATATGTTCTCTCTAGGATCCATGACCTCTTTGGCCACAGATAGCTAGCAGGTCTAGTTTTACAGTACCAGGCAGGAATTCCCTCCCAATGAGTGGACCTAAAGTCCAATTAGACAATGAAAGAGTTATTATCTAATAGACCCAAGAAATGAGTGCAACTACTGTACCACTGAGGCTATCTTGATGGGCCAGTCACAAAGTTCTGCCCCTAGATGAAGAGCTATAATCCAATGGCTGATGAGAGAGGGAGAATTAGTTTTCTCCAAGGATAGTATGTATTACACACATACATACATACATACATACATACATACACACACACACACACACACACACACACACACACACCCCTAACATACCACACCAATAATAATAATAAAAGAAGTCATGAATTTGAGAACAAGTAGGGGAAATAGCAGTTGGAGGGATGGACACTATTCAAATGAAATTCTAAAATAGTCAAATGAATTTTTTTAAAGAAAAGAGAGACACCTTAAAAAAAAAAAAAAGGCTATGCTTAGGGACTAGGAGACAAAGTCAGTAATGCTAAACTAAAATTCATTTTCACCCATATTAGGTTTTTAAAGACTAAAATTTGCTAATCACTAGTATATCTGAGAGAAAAACAATGTGCAGAAGACTGTTTTGGAACTGAGTAAGTCACAAAACAAGGGTGCAAGGTCCTACATAAGCACTGCTTACCTTGGAGACTTGCCGCAACCACCGTAAGTACTCTGTGAAAGTATCAAAGCAGATATAGTAAGTCTGGCTTTGGGGCCCTGAAGAGCTGAATGCTAAGCAGTGCTGGTGCTTCTTGACTTCTTCCACCTGTGAAAAGACACAACGAAAGCAAGTAAGCCAGCAGAAGCTGGGATGTAGCCCCCAACGAGATCTGCATCTCTCCCCAGGTAGGAGACTCTTTCAACTTATAGCCACATCCTTGCAGCAGAAAAACAATCTAATTACAAAGAAACCAAGAAAGGAGGGTTTTTACCTTCATTAGAATTCACCACCTCGGTGAAATTCCCTTCTCCCTGTTGAAAAGCTGTACAGACCCTTCCTTTCTTACTCTTTATATAGGTATCTTTACAACAAGGCTTTGGGCTTCTTCCTCTTAGAATTAAAATAATAAACTCCCATTCACAGTAAATTATTCACAAAGAGAAAAAAATTAAACAAAACATATTATACAAACTCATCATTTTCTTGAAAAAAAGGACCAACTCACAAAGAATGTACAAAGGGATTTTAAACTGTCATTTTGATGATACTGTTCAGATGATAGTGTTCAAAATGTAACGATATCAGAAATCACTAATGAAAATTAGTTTAAAGTCTGTGTATATTTACAAGATGAATAGCGCACTTGTAAAACACACTCTTCCAGTGCTGAAGACTGCCAGACCCTGTGTGTGCTAGGTCAGTGTTTTATCGCACAGACAAACCCAGTCCCATACATGACACACTTTTCAACTGCATACTTCTAAACATTTCAGGTTTGACAAAAATTATAGCCTAAAAATTTAAAGCTAAACATGTTAAAAATCTGTATGAAATCAAGCAAACAAAAAGGGAAATTAACAACTTTTAATATTTAGAAATGTAGTAAATTAATTTGCTTAGCATGGAGCTTATTAGCCAGGAAACTTAAAACTAAATGACAATAATAACAAAAAACTGGAGCTAAAGAGATGGGTCAGTGGTAAGGGAGCTGTGCTCCTTCAGACCTGAGCTCTGTTCCCAGCATGGACATCAGAAAGCCGAAAAGCTTGTAAACCAGCTCTAGGGGATGATTTGACTTCCTTCCTCTTCTGACTCCACAGGCACCTGTACTCATGTCTACATACCGCCCCCCCAACACAAACACACAATTAAAAAGAAAATAAATCTTAAATTTAAAAGAATGATGTGAAGGCTCTCAACAGGTAAAGGCACTTGGTACCCAGCCCAAAAACCAGAATTTGATCTGAGTCCTCCATCATAGAAGGAGAAAGCCAACGCTTCAAGTTGTCCTCTTATCCCCATACATTCACTGTGGCACTGGAGTGCAATCACATGTGTATATACACACTGTGAGTTAATAAACTCACGGTGAAAATATAACAAGGCAATCAGACATGTACTTTAGAGTGATTGTGAAACTGCACCTTGTCAAGAAAATGGGGTATCATCCTGTCACTTGGATATGCTTCCCTCCTGGAAGCGAGCAATGTTCTCTGGCACACACTCTCAAGATCAGCATATTTCTACAAGGTCATTTGGATGGAGTTCTTCACTGCTCAGGACCTGTCTGCCCTATTGTGTGGCGCTTTCTTCTGGAAATCCTTGCTAGCCTTTTTAATGCTTTTGCAGCAAGAATACTGGTACTCACCAAACACTCTACCTACTTCTCAGCACTTCCCAGACCCCTTACGAAAGTAAAGTCAACTTAAATAATTTCTGGCTAAAAGCAAGAGTGGCATGTGTCACTATTTCAGATCTAAATATACAAGAGTGGAGCTGGAAAGATAGCATTTAACAAGCCACCACCAGGCATTCCTTACAAATACCTAGAACCACAGCTCCAATGTGGGCAGGAATAGAAAGACTGCTGGAGCTGTTGGCTTCCAGTCTAGCCAAGAGGTTGAGGAAGAGGAACAGGCAGAGAATGACTTAAAGGACATGTCCTCTTCTCACCTGCTTTCATACATGTATACACACAGACACCCAAATAAAAATAACTCTTTAAATAGATAAGAACCAGTAAATGACACTACAGTTACTTCTTCCTGTGGCACAGGTCACCAATATTAAACAAAAGAAGAGTACCATGCAGGGTCCCTACAGAGTGTGCAGAAAGGGAAATTAACTCCAAACTCCACCAACACATAGTGGACATATGATATAAGAAATTACTATGGCATGGCATCAAGATCTGGCAGTTATGTTACCATGGTATAAATTCCAAGTTAGTGTTTCAATCTTTTTTGTTGCTGTTTTCTTTCTGGATGCTCTTGTGCTCCCCCTATGTTCCTGTCACTTTGTCACAGGAAATACTGTCAACTGATGACCTGTCAGTGCTCTAGGGGGTGGAGGCAAGGAGACACAGCCCCTCATCACCTTCACTGGCCTGAGAGCTTCCCTTGGATTTTCCAAGACCTTGACTCAGGCCAAACTAGGATTCACAGCTTCAATGATGAAAAATTTTTGAAAGTAGCCTGTTTATGAAGCAGAGTTGGAGTTTAATGAAAATGTTTTAACACAGGCTTAAACATGGAGGCAAAAAAAAAGGGGGGTACTAAGAAGAAAGCAAGATACACTCATTGACCCAAGTGTGGGCTTCTAAACAAAGAATAACAGAAAGTGAGACTTATGACTTATCCAATGTCAGTACAGGCTCAAGGGGAAGCTGCCTGTTCATTCTTTTGAATATCAAAAACATTTCTACATAATACCAAATGTCCCTGGGCATAGAAATTTTGTTGTAAACAAGAATTTTTCCCTTAAAAATTGTATTTACCAGGAAGAATATCACTCTAAGATTATGTCAACAATGTTGTTTGTAACAACAAAAACCTGGAAGCAACCAAATGTTAAGTAGAAAAATTAGTTTAAAAATTATATTAATTGTGGAATATTTACAGATTAGAACATTTGAAATGAAAACTATATAGACATGAAATCCATACAATGAAAAGCCTAAAGAATGTCCACCCCTCCTAGTCAGGTTGCTTCAGTAGTGTCTACTAGGTGTTGTGCTGACTTGATGTTTGCCATCTGCTTCTGCCATCTAACTACCTACCTGATATTTATTCCTTTACTTTGTTCTCTATATACTTAATAAATTCACTCATTCAAAACTGAAGGTATAGCTATCTTACATAATTCCCTGGGATGTACAGAACAAAAGATAAACAGTTCATTTATTATTCATCTTTATTTGAATAGATACATATTAAAACCTTACTTAAACGTATTATCTAAAAATCTGTTTAACTCTACAGAGCAAATTCAACATGAGTACACAATGAATAAAAATGTCTCTTTATTAAAAATACTTTTTCAACGACAACATTTAAGAGAGCTTTAACCTTTTAAAGAATTAGAGTTATGTATATGTTTGCATGCACAATGGCCAAGGTACATATGGAGGTCAGGGGACAACTGGCAAGAATCAGTTCTGTCCTACCATGTGGATCCCAGGCTTGGCAACAAGTGCCACTATCCATGGAGACAACTCACTGGTCCAAGTGAGCTTTCTTTAACAATGAAGCCACTTGTAACTTGAAAATTGTAAACTGATCATGCCCTGGTGATGTGGAAAACTGATACAATAGCAACTACCACTAGATTACGACCAAACCAATTTACCCAACACTTCACTTCTAGCTCTTCCATATATAAATTAAAAAGAAAAAAGGCTCTTGCATTTAATCACAGTGTTTCCTTTATCAACTAAAACAGAATGACAAAAAGAAATAGACAAACACTAATGAAAGATCAAGTTACAAAAAGTGAATTATTTTCTCCTAACTGGGTCAACAGGTTTTAAGGACTTGGTTTTCAACAAGCTCCATTATTTTAAAGACGGTGAGAAGCAGGTTTGACAAGATCTGCTTGTAAAAAACGGAAGCTATTAACTTTCAATCCACTCAATAGTAGAAGTCTGTCCAATAACAGGCCTGGGAAACAGGACAGGCCTCTGAATAGCAATGCTAATTATAGCTGGGTTTTCTGACCTTACCTGAACATTCCACATGCTTTTCTACCTCTCTGAGTATAATAATCTTGTTCCCACTTTATATGTCAAAGATTTTTCACCCTTCAAGTTCTATTATTGTAACCTCTTTCATTACAAAAATCTCTTCTGTATCTCCTGGTATGGAATCATAGGCTGTTCAAAGGCACAGATGGTGACTCCCTATATCTTAGTATCAAACACAGTGCCTTCCCTCACAAATCTTTAAATCATTATAAATCATTATAATACATTATATTATAAATCATTATATCACATTTGCCTATGCAAATATCCAACATCACAAAGAGACAGACTTTAGGTCTAAAGCAAACGTTAAATATGCTTGCATTTTAAGATAATCATTTATGATGTCAACATTAATGACAAATTAATCCATGAAAGGGCAAAATGTGAAAGAATGAATATGGCAATTGATGTGCTCACTTGGTAGAAAACTTGCCCAGCATGTATCCAGTCTGGGTTCAATCTCCAATACCATATGAAACTGAAACTAGGTGTGGTAGCACACACCTGTAATCCAACACCTATAATCCCAGGTGGGAGTATCAGGAGTTCAAGGTCATCTTTGACTACAAACAGTTTCACTCAGCAACTCACAATGCTCAGACAAATAAGCAGTGATTTCAAAATGGAAGAGTGAATAGATCTAAGTTTACCTTTCATTCTGGCTAAAACCTATTGTGAAGAGACTTGAGTATCATCAGCCTTCCTAGCACTAGTGTATGCCAGTAGAGGAGAGAGCAACTAGCACAGAGCATTCACAAGCACAGACTAAACTGCAGAGCTGCTGAACATCAAAGCCACTTGTCATTATGTAGATCTAGCCTTACCTTCAATTCTGACTCCAAACATGTCAGACATTTGTTAATATTTTTTAAGTTTGTATTTTCACAAAAACTGGCTTACTGGTCTCTACCTAGACCTACATCCTTTCCCATCCAGGAGGAAAAATAAATAAATGAAATCGTTGTTTCATATGTCCCCAATTCCAACAAACCATTTCTCATCTGAATCAGCGCCTTTAACAAATTACATCATTTTAAAACCAGCAAACACTGACATGTGGTTATAGTGATGTTATCCCCAACAGAGAATTTAATACTTGTTCATAAATAAACCAGAAAAGAAGTTACCATTTCCCCCAGAAAACTGGTTCTATTTTATAAGTGATGGGCAAAAAAGTGGTCAACATGCCCAAAGAAAAGCAACTGGTATTTCAAGAAACATCTGACAAGTGTGTAAGTAACATTTCCAGCTCAGAATGTATTGGCCAGCCATAGTAAAGATGCTAATCTCACTAAGTCCCTGAACACAAATAAGCAGAAGGTAATGGAAGACTGATCAGACTTCAGCAGCAGGAGATCCTAAACCTCCATGAACACATTTGGTATCCTGTACTATGAGCTATGTGCTCAACAAAACAAAGGATGCCTACTTACAAAGAATTCATCATCTGCACTCTAAAATAGAACCTTCTGTTGATCCACTTTCCCTGGTGACCCAATGGCAGTGTTATTTTCACAGCTCCAGTGACCAACACTGGCCACCAGTGGGACACATCAGGAAGTAGGTGCTCAGACAAGTCAAATCCATCTCCTCCTTATTTCAGAAATCACTGGAAAGTCCCTACTAATGCTAAAATACTTTAGCATTCTTGCTTTACACTTACTTTTCCACCAATTAGTGGCAGAACATGCATCTTTCCGCTCAAGCTGTCTTTCACAGATGAGACTATCAAGCAGGTCCCACACAGGATAACCTGGCGTCTTGTCCATCGGTTCACTGGCAACTGCATTTTGCCTTTTCGGACATTGTACATTCCTGAGAGCTGAATCCGCTCGGAGCTCCCAGTGCTGTGAGGTTTTCCTAAAACAGACACAAGCAAACATGTTACATGTTAGTCTTTAAAAACAAGCCCCTTCCCCCAGATATATACTGGATCGATTAATTAGGAAACAATAATTATAGGGGGAAAAAACTAAGTTACAACTAAGAGACTATACAGCCAACAGTCATTGTGGAATTATGGTAATCCCTCATATGTATTTTAGCAGCAAGTAAAGCACAATCTTTTTCTTAAAACCCAAGGAAAAGACTGTTTTAGGCCCTTTCTTATTACCATTTCCTTATAATTAATTTTATATTTAATAAGAGATGGATTCAAGATTTTTATGTATGGCTAGTCATTAGTAAACTAAGAAGATTACAGGCCAAGATATAAAATAACATTTGCATCCTACATTTAATGAAAATAATCAGTCTTACTGGGATTAAATGTCTATTTACTCCCCACACTTATTCAATGTATGCTTACTAAAAAGGGAGAAATAAATATGATTGTTCTGATATGAACATACCACAAGATGAAGGCCAAGTACAGCAATGTTTGTGATTTGTGGAGAAAGGGGCAGGGGCACAGAGTAGCACTGTGACTTGAGACAGTGAGAAAAAATTCAAGAGTTCCTGTTTTGAAGGTAAAAATGAACATAGTAACACTGCATTCAGGCAAGTTCTGCCAACATGGAAGTTTTGCTGTGATTTAACATGACACTGATGGGATGACAAAAAATATCAACCAAAGTCATATACTGAGTAGATCAGAAAGAACCAGACAGATGTCCTGCAGTAGAACCCACAGAAGAAATGACACATTTGGAAGTCTAGGCGCAAAGGACTAGGAGGAAAGCACCTCAAGAGATATTATATTATTAAAAATTAACCTAACAAATAGCAGGCCAGCAATATGGCTCATGGGGTAAAGGTGCTCGCCATCCAATGATGCAAGCCTAATGGCCTAAGTTTGATTCCTAGGGCCATGGTGGAAGGAGAACTAACTTCCCAAAAAAGCTGTTCTCTGGCCTTCATGCATGCACATGCCATGGCAACATACACACAATAAATAATGCAACTTTAAAATTTAAAGAACCAGCAAGGAAAGAACCCAAAAGCTGAAAGATGCCTAATGCCCATCAAACATGCAGCAAGAAGAGCCAACAACACTTAAAACAGACTTCAAGAGGATTCAGAGTGTTGAATCCACCCAATAAATACAGTTGGGCAGGGATGCTATTTTCTAATAAAACTAATATGTCCTCATTTACTTCCTCTTCCAGCATAACAAAATGTTTTATAAAAGTGACTACTTCATACTTGAATTTTATGCCGGATGGGCAAGAATGAAACGTGACAGATGGTACAGTTACTTGAGCCAGGTGCCCAGCCAAACACTATCCTGCTCAAGCTTCCCACAGGAAGGGGTCTCTCCTGCTGTCCACCAGTACCAACCAACCTTCCCACAAGCAAGTAGGAAGCCACTAGACTGTTCATAACACAAAGAAGAAGTCAAGGGCTGTTAGTGGCAGACCACCATCACTGTCCCATTTCTGCACATGCTCATTAATGTCAAGAAAGGAAAATGCCGAATGTCTTAGTCTGCTTTCTCTTGCTGTGATAAACACCATGCCAAAAGTAACTTGAGGGGGAAGAGTTTATTTCAGCTTACAGGTCACATCCATCGCTGAGGGAAGCCATGGTAAGGGCTCAAGGAAGGAACCTGGAGGAAGGGGCTGATGCAGAGGCCACAGAGGAGTGTGGCTTACTGGACTGATATGTTGAGTGTGCTCAGGACCACAAGCACACAGTGAGCAGGCCCCTCCTCTATCAGCTAGTAGCCAAGAAATGCCTCACAGACATGCTCCAAACCAAGCTGATGGAGACAATATCTCAGTTTTGGTTCCCTTTCTCAAGTATGTCAAGCGGACAACTAATATCAGCTACCATGTGAGTCTAGTTTAAGACCTTCTGCATGTGTCAAATTCTCTCAATAGAGGAGATAGTAGAGAACAGGTAAGATTCCAAGAAAAAATGAAAATGACCTAAATTAATACATTCTTGACTGTAAAATAAAGAAACATTCTCCAACACAGGATCCAATCTAAATATACCCAACACCTCCATGCACGTGTGTGATCTAAACACACCCACACCTCTGCACACATGTGCGAATACAAAGAAGGAGATATTTTATTTAACCACATCAGAGACGCTTCAAGGACACTTACAACCTATCACATTTATTCAGATTTGTAAGTAACTGTAATAGAGATTGGGGGGTGGCATCAAAAACCAGGGAACATAAATGAGTCTTTCAATTCTCCAAATCCAAGTATCTCCTAAACAAAGCGCCACAGCAAATCAGCAGACTGACTGACTCAGGCCACAAAGAACCTTTATGAGAATGGACAAGCAACAGAGACTGGCTCTTTAGTCACTGATCAGAAAAATTCCAAAGAGTTCTACACTGTCATGGAACACAAGGGCAAGACAGGTTTGTTCTTGGGAAACCCTTAAAATCCCACTCTGAATCAAATCCGACTCCCACCCCCATGCTGCTCCAAGTGCACTTGGTCCTCTAGACACTTATCTTCCTGGGTCAGACACAACCTCAGAACGGCTCTACACCAGCTGCACTCTGGGAACAGGGTGTTGAAAGAGGTCATACACTACTGGGCAGTGACCCAGGCATACCATCCTTTGTGTCAGACTCCCTTATCACAACTTAGGATGATGTGCAAACATTTCAAGCTGAAATAGAGAGGACAACAGAAAATTTAAAAACACATGCATACTCTTTCTCTTCTACCTACTCACTTGGCACATGGCAGTGATGATGATCTAGAGCTAGCAAGATGGTTTAGCTGGTAAGGCATTTGCCACTAAGCTTGAAGTCCTGAATCCTATCCCTGAGACCCACATGGTACAAAGACAGAAAACTCCCACAAGCTGTCCTCTGACCTCTGTTGCACATACGTACATACATTCACAAATACCTATATATGTACGATAAATGTAGTGGTTTTTTTAATGGTGTTCTATAATAACCCTCAAGACACTACCCCACGAAGGGGGTTAAGGCCCCTTGTAGAAAATTATAACATGATATTAGAGGATCTGTGGGGTTTTGTTTGTTTGTTTGTTTGTTTGTTTGTTTGTTTGGGTTGGGGGGGTGGGGTTTTTGTTTGTTTTGTTTTTTTGGTTTGTTTTTTTTCAAGACAGGGTTTCTCTGTGGCTTTGGAGGCTGTCCTGGAACTAGCTCTTATAGATAGACCAGGCTCGTCTCAAACTCACAGAGATCTGCCTGCCTGTGCCTCCCAAGTGCTGGGATTAAAGGCATGCGCAGCCACCACCACCCGGCCTTTTCTTTTTTTCTTTCTTTGAGGATCTGCTTCTTAATGACTCCCTGAACACTCCTCTTCCCCATCAAATAGACAGTTTTTACTTGCTTTGATTTCTCATAGTACAATTGTTGGCTTGGCAGTGATATAAAATGTCTGCCATAAGCCAGACCTATGCAAATCCTAGGGGTATTAAGAAAACCTTCCCTGTACCACATAGCTTAAAGCAACATTTCTCAGGATGTGGTCAGGGGCATGTATCAGAATTGTTTGGCTTTTGTCGACTATAACAGACCTACAATTTTGGAATCCAGGTAGTCAAAAACCAAATGCTGCTTTCAGCGTTACCACCAAAAGTTTTGTTTTATGGCAATAAAGCTAAAAGATTTAATACACATGCAACTCGTTCTCCAAAGTAAGATTTTCCTCCAACAAATGTATTCCACATACTCACTTCGAATCAGCTACTTAATGTTTCTATACCACATAAAACCACTTGAAAAATAACATGAAAAAAAGCTATGGACTCTAAGAGGAGTTAAAAAAAAAAGTATAGAGGGCTGGATAGACAGCACAGGGGTTTAAGAGCATTTGCTGCTCTTTCAGGGGATCTGAGTTCAGTTCCCAGTAAATGGCTCACAACTGCCTGTAATTCCAGTTCCAGGGGATCTGACACTATCTCCAGACCTCATTGGGCACTTGCATGTGTGTAGGATACACACACACACACACACACACACACACACACTAAATATTTTAAAAGTACATATGTATAAACATCAAATCTGAAAGTGCAATTTGGATTTATATAACCAACCTCAAGAAAATTAAAGATGGTGACATTAAGAGCAAGAGTCTATCAAATTTCCTCAAATTACATTCAGAACATTTTTAAGGTTTGCTATGAACAGTAAATTACTTTGAGAGAATTTTAAGTCTTTTATATCTATCACTTCCAGTGCTCTTCACTATTCTATACAGATGCCGTCCATATGAGATTATTTTCATTTTGCCTTAGTATCCGAGCAATTTCTTGTGGTACAGATCTAATAATAAAGTCTGTTTGCTTTTGTGTCTACGAAAGCCTTCTTTTCTTTGTTTTTAATGATATTTCACTGCATGTAGACTTGTAGGTTAACGGTCTTTCCTTCAGAATTCTGAAGATGCCCTCCAGCATCATCTGTTCCAGAAAAGTGTGCTGCCATTCCTCAGTGCAGAGCATGTCACCCAGTGCCTTGCTAACTCTTAGATTTTCTCATTAGTAGTTTGAAGCAGTTTGTTTTTCCACTTTAATGCATGATGAGGGGAGAGCACACATGTGGAGGCCAGGAGACAATCCTGGGTGAGAGAAAATCGGTCCACTACCTTAGGGAAGGATCTCTCCGGCCTCCCCGTTCCCGGACTGGGATTACAGGTACATGCCACCACAGCCAGGCCTTTTATGAGCATGCCAGAAGTCAGCTCAAGGCCTTGAGTTCTCAAGGCAAGCATTTTACCAGGTGAGCCTTTCCCCAGCTCATTCTCTGCAGCCTGGTTTCTGGTATGTCTTTTCACATTTCTGATGCTCAAGATTTACACCATTTGAAATTTATGGTCAAAATTGAGAATTTTGCCAGCTATTACTACTTCAAATACTTTCTCTGATCTTACAAGTCCTCTTTAGGGGCACCAACTGTACATACACAAATTAAG